AGGGTTTATCATCGTCATCCCCAACTGAAAAAATCCTCGAAAAATATAGTTGTGACATAGCTATTTACTTCAAGGACTCGATATGACCACATTCATACCAGCGCAGACTGTCAATTGACATACTAATTTGTTCTTGAAAACTGGCACCTTAAGGTCCGACGCAAACTTATTCATAAAACCATAAAAAAATCTGCATTATTTTGAAGCACTTCTAAACTTCTTTATTGTAAATTAGAGGGACTGTAGCACGTTAAGGCTAAGAAGTGAGAAGTAAATGCTTGGTGCTTTGCCCAAACGTCCAAATATCCAAACATCCAAACATCCAAACACCCAAACACAAACCATACAAAATAATTTAACGTGTTGTGGTGTTATGAAAGATTTGATGGACAAAAATATCTATCTTTCAAAGATAGATAAAGAAAGATAGTTGGAGAAATCAGTTGTCGGAAATGCAGAATGCAGCGAATTCATGACACGGACCACAAAAAAGTATATAAATAAATGAACAAGATATAAAAATATTAAGAGAGAAAAATGTCAGAATTAGGAGAGAAGAAGACGGAAGCTAGGGAAAGAGACGGTGGCATGAAAAATGGCCTAAAATCTAATCACAGCTGGCAAAGGTTAACTCACAGATGCAACACATGGATACAAACACAGCTTTCTCAAAAATCATTATGACGCTGAAATGTAATGTCATCAAATACGGAAGTCGACCACTGGTGTTTGTTTCATTGGCATGCTACTCTCCTTTTGATCAAAGCTAACAGAATTTACTTTAATTGCGTACAGTAAAACCTCCATTAACAGAAACCTCAATCTATCGGACACCACTCAGCAACGGACATTTTTTGTCCCAAATGGTCAAAACGATCTTAAAGGGATGTCTGTACAACGTACTCCTCTAAATAACAGACAATGACACATGTCCAAACAGTGCCTGTTATATGGAGGTTCTACTGTACTTCCAAATTTATCATAAACGTATTCAGACTATCAACCTGAGCATTACCGTGAATGTAGACCATTCGTTTGAAGATGCTTAAAACTCATCATTATAAAATTTATTGCGACCAATTTGATTTTTTTAATATTTTCTTTTAACATGTTGATTAGATTTACAGGGCAGCGTGTCTTAAATCTCACAATACTTTTATATTTCTCAAAAAATTTTAAATGTTATTGTGACAAAATGAAATTTTAACCCTTCATCGGGAAACAATTACTCTAGAATATTGATTTAAGGGAAAATGTCAATTTTAGAGGAAATAATTTTTTTACACTAACATAACTCCTTTTATTGAAAGAAAACTGATCTTTAAAAACTATAAACATTTTTTAATAAACGTGAACTTTATAAATATCTATTAGCCGTCTGCTGAGTTGTCATTATTTTAAAACGTAAATTTTTATTTTGATGGTTAAAAAGGATTTTAGAGTAAGGTAAGGCACACTTGATAAATACCTCTCCGCTGGTGTTTTAGTGTCATCTTGGTCAGTTGGTATTTTCCAATTGTATCTTTCTGGCGACTCGTAACCCTGACTTCGGTTTCCATATACCTCTATGGCCAAAGACGATTCAGAAATATACTCGAGAAAGTCATCATTTATCTCAAAGTTGAAGATCTGTAAAATAAATAAATAATCTCTTGAAGGTTCTCATTTAAGGACTGCAAAAAGCAATAATTGACTGAAAGGATCGTGATTGGGTACAAAGCTATTGCCCTCGTTTACCAAATAAATACATCAAAATTTCTAGGATATTAATTTCTAAGACATTATGCCTATTTCTAATATAAAATTTATAAAATGAAAACACAAGGTAACAATTTGCTTTTAGTTTGATTTCTAAGGCATAAACTGTCACACATCTTATTCACAAATAAGAATTCTCTGATGGCAAGCCTAGTTTCGAAACGTTTTGAATAAAATTACTTATTAATGTCTCTACCATTCATGTCTAATATTTTTCAAGTTTATTTCTGTTGCGTCGTGTCTTAACTAAATATTACCTTTTATATCTACTAATAATGATTGCCAATTAACATCGATTATTAAATGCTACCAAAATGATGAACGATAAAATGATCATCGTCGCCTGTCTAATCCTTCCGTTCAGAATTAAATAACGTTTTCCGCTGAAATGTAACAGCTAGAATAGTTGACTACTTTCGTAATGCTTCTCTTGAAAAACTGACAGCGTTAGGCCATCCTAGATAGCATTCGTGTACAGGGCAGAGCTTGAGTACAAAACTGGTACTGCCAAAACATACCTGTGAATGTTTGAATTGCATTGCATTAGATTTGGGCACACCATCAGCAGATACGGCTACATTGATCGGTGGAACGACAGTCAGAGGTTGGTCGTACAGGTTGTATTGACAAAAGACGTAGTTACAGAGAGTTGGTGGCAACCCAGTGGCTTCATGAATGGTTACCTGTGTAAAAACATGGTATGCATTGTTGCAGAAGCAGAGGTATAGGACACGTGACTGATTTAAGTAATGCGAGGCCGAATGAAACCTAAGTTTTGAGAAAAGGCCAACATACGACGTAGAAAAAGCTCGAATGGCAGCCGAGGAAGAACAAGGTTAAAGGTTTTCAGCTGTCAAAGTAAAATATTCCCAATGTCTTAAAATAATGAGTCAAATCGCATTTTAATGAAAACCTATATAACATAATTATTTGATCAAAGCAAATATGAGTTCATGAGCGAAAATAAGCTAGATATGTGAAAAAATGGGCAGTGAATTTCACAATACAAAGATAAATTGAAACTACAGAAACATGTTTGCTCACCTGAACCTGTATCGTTCTTCCAACTTCAAACTGTTGTTCAACATCAGATTCGCTGTCACCCGATGACTGACTCTCACTATCACTCCCGTCTGTTAAATAATTGATAGCACAAGTTGAACCGTGCATCGAGCACAAGAAAAGAATTTGCAGTCAATGAATCCCTACCACTACACAATCACATTAAACTATTAAAAATCTAGTATCGAAACTACAAAAACGAATATTTAACTGCAATCGTTTTCTTTGCAGCTACTTGTCAAAAACTTTTACTATATCCAGTAGTTAGGTTGCGGTTCCAGATAGTCTAAGTCAGATAAAGACACCTCAAAAAAATGCAGGCCAGAGACCGTATCACTATGGCTTTGTGCTAACACACCTTGATGCTTCGATATCGAAAGATACTCAAGTGGCTTATGCCATCAATCAACCATTGACCAATCAATGAGCGTATTGTCATAAAGTGAACCTTCATTATTATTATTATTATGAGTAATATGCTGAACCTTGCTTTGGTTGCCCTGTGCAACAATTGTTTTGTTATGCTTTGTTATATTAATAAGGGTGTTATGGAATTTTAAGGGAGTTGTGTTTTGGGATTCGAATATGAAAGTAAACGAAGTGTCTTCTATATGAATTGGCCTACGGAATTAAGAGAATATAACATTGGCGACGAGGATAAAACCATAATAACATAGCATATGTTATGAAGGATGGCTTTCAGTCTAAATCTACACCCACTTCCTGAATTTGATCCAGATATTGAAGTTGGTGCTAGTCTTTCTACGAGATGGCGACAATGGCTTCGTGATTTCGACACATATATTCTTGCCAGTGGTATAAGAGATCTTGGACGCAAACGAGCCATTTTACTTCATCAAGCAGGTTCCCGAGTTCGCGAAATTTTCAGCCAGATTCCTGATACAGGCGCTGCCGCTGATTATGAACTGGCTCGTGATAAACTCACTGCATATTTCGAGCCTCAGACAAACCGTCGGTATGAAGTGTACAAGTTTCGCCAAACTCGCCAGGAACAAGGGGAGACCTTAGATCATTTTCACACACGGCTCCGACATCTTTCTGTCAATTGTACCTTTACGGATACCGACTTCGAAATCGAGGAACAAATAATTGTTGGAGGCATTTCTAACAAAATTAGAAGAAAAGCGTTACGTGACCCAGACTATTCGCTAAAAGATATGTTACTTGATGGCAGAAGGGATGAAATGAGCGAATTCCAAGCGAAGGAAATTGAGTCAAAAGAAGACATGCAACAATACACTCATCGGTTTACGGCTTCAAACAAGGCAGGTAAACAAAAATTGACTGTACCCCCGAAATGTGGAAGCTGTGGTGGTGCACGACACCCAAAGGATCAATGCCCAGCGTATGGCAAAACATGCCATAAATGTGCAAAATCGAATCATTTTGCAGCTGTATGTCGGAGTGCAGCTCAGGACAAGAGACCGAAATCCGGTAGGCCAAACAAACCTCAACGTTTCTCAGTCAAGCCATTGAATTATTCGACACAGTCTAGCGACGATGAATACGTTTACACAATACAACAGAAATCCACAGGGTGTCCTACAACAACAATTTCTATTGCGGGAAAGCCAATATCAATAATGATTGATACCGGCGCCTCCATCAACGTGTTGGACAACACAGCCTTTCAACAATTAGAGGGAATTGAATTACGTCCAACCAAGGTCAAGGCATTTGCCTTCAGTTCAAAACAGCCCGTCTGTTTCAAAGGAAAATTTGAAGCTCTTGTCGAAACAAAGCAAAAATATTGTGTCTCAACATTCTACGTTGTGAGCAGCAAAGATTCAGGATGTCTGCTATCCATGGCTACCGCACAGGAGTTAGGACTTATCAGCTTGAATCTAAGTGCAATTAAGCCCGTTGATGTAACAGATGAGAAACTTTCAACTTTGCTGGATAAATATCGTGATGTATTCAAAGGTTTAGGAAAACTCAGAGACACTGAAGTGCAGCTCAACATTAATCAAGAGGTTATACCAAAGGCTCAACCCCCAAGGAGAATCCCATTTCACATTCGTCAGAAAGTACAGGACGCTGTGAAGGAGCTTCAAAGACAGGATATCATAGAGCCAGTACCTGAAAATCAGCCAACACCATGGGTCTCACCCATCGTTGCTGTTCCGAAGAAAGATGGTTCAGTGCGAATTTGTGTGGACATGAGGATGGCTAACCAAGCCATAGACAGGGTTAGATATCCTATACCCACAGGGAATGATATAAGCCTAGAGCTTAATGGTTCGAAGTACTTCACAAAGCTGGACCTTTCACAAGCGTATCACCAACTACCTCTTGCAGAGGAATCGAGGTATATCACAACATTTTCCACACATTGCGGTTTATATCGTTACAAAAGATTAGCATATGGAATTAATGCTAGCGCTGAAATCTTCCAACACTCGCTTCAGCAAAATCTTCAGGGCATCAAGGGGGTGCAGAACATAGCAGATGACATAATTATTTTCGGTGTCAACAAGGAAGAGCATGACATCGCCCTTGAGAAATGTTTGCGACGTCTACAAGAAAAGGGATTCACGTTAAATGCGAACAAATGCAAATTCTTGCAACCCACATTAGACTTCTTTGGACAGATATTCTCCGAAAAAGGGACTCGCCCAGATCCAAAAAGAATTCAGGATTTGCAAAACGCTTCAATTCCCAAAAATGCAAGTGAAGTGAGAAGTTTGTTGGGAATGGCTAATTATAGCTCCAAATACATCCCAAATTATTCAACAATTACAGCTCCATTGAGAGATCTTATCAAGAAGAACTCGATCTTTTCGTGGAAAAAGGAACATCACAATGCGTTTGAACAGGTAAAACGAGCGCTTACCTCTTCACCAGTTATGGGATACTTTGATATAAACAAATCTACTAGTCTGACAGTTGATGCCAGTCCTGTAGGCATTTCAGCCATCTTATCGCAAAGCTCAAAAGAAAAAAAGGACCATCAAGTAATTGCATATGCTAGTAGGTCCTTAACAGATGTGGAAAGTCGTTATTCCCAGACGGAAAAGGAAGCTTTGAGCATAGTATGGGGCATTGAACATTTCCATTTGTTTTTATATGGTCCACCTTTCACACTTGTCACAGACCATAAGCCTCTAGAGATCATATACGGATCGCCAAGCTCTAAGACATCAGCCAGGATAGAAAGATGGGTTTTACGCTTGCAGCCATATCAGTTTACAATTAAA